TCTTTAAAAAATATGGTGAATAAATATATTTGGGATCCTGTCAATATGGGTGTTCGTGGTTCGGTTTGGATCGGTTATTGTTTAAAACCAAAACCAAACCAATCTAGTCGGTTTTTTAAATTTCTAAAACCAAACCAAATCAAACCAATCTAGTCGGTTTTTTAAATTTCTAAAACCAAACCAAATCAAACCAATCTAGTCGGTTTTTTAAATTCTCTCTTTTCAAATCACAAAATAAATTTTTGTTTGTTCTCCTCCTAATTTGATACGAATTTCATAAATAGATTGATTTTTTCTCCAAATAATTATTCTTACCCTTTGAAACACTAATCAACCTTCATATAAATTTCTCAACCATAATGAATTTTCTCTCCTTGTAGGAGGAATAAACATTTTTTCAAAAAGTCTTTCATTTTGAAGAGAAACTTTTGTTACATGATCTCTTTCTTTACATCAATGTCTTCACAAGAATCATGAGATATTCTCTCTTTCTCTTTTGTTAAAAAAGTCACATGACCTAGAAATTTGATGGACATCTTAGTGACATAAGTTGATACCATATATTCATTATCATCGTCAGAAGAAGAAGAACCAAAGTGAAGAAATTTGTTCTTATTTGTTACAACTTACAAATGCTCAAATATTTTTATTTTATTTTATAGGCAAAATAATTATAAACAGTTATGAAAAATGAATAGTTTTTTATCTTTTCATCTTCCATTTACTTAAATCTATATTAGTGTAATGGATGTTATAAAGGGCATAATTAATTGGGTATGACATAAATACTTTCAGTTTTTTTTTTAAATACAAATAAAAAATACAAAACAAAAATAAAATGTCAAAAAAAGGAGAAAAAAGATAAATAGAAATGCTGGTCATAGAGAGGTGCTACATCATGTTGTCTATATTTAGATTGTCTATATTGCTTAGGCCTTTCCGTTTCCCCTCTTCATTCTTTCTAGCTTTTTTTCTATGTTCCGTCTTTTCGTGAGGTAATATCTCATATGGTCACTCAACTTTGAATACTTCACATAAAAAGTCACACAACTTAGGTTTGCTCACTTTGAAAGTCACTCAATTTTATTTTATAACTCAAAAGTCACTCAACTATTGATATTTCACTTAGAAAGTCACTCAACAATTAATATTTCATTTATAAAGTCACTCAATCAATTTAAATATTTTTTTTCCATTAAATTTTGTTGAAATAAAATATCTATTTTAATTATCTTATCACCACTCTAATTATTTAATTATATTTTTCTTGTGAAAAACGTACTGTAGCGATTGCCAAAAAAAAATTCTCTTTTCTATTCTAGCATTTGTCTAACTGGAACTAATGCTGAATTTTTTATTTTTTTTTGTTTTTTAGAAAGGTTGGAATCAAGAAGTTAAGAAGTAATCCAAAAAAAATAAAAATGTAGCAATCTTATTATTTTATTAAAAAATTGTTTAAAACAAAAAATATATTTCAACAAGATTTAATAAAATAATTAAAATTAGCATCTTATTAATTTTTGAAAATAAGTTAAAATAAAAATTGATTTTAACAAAATTTAATTAAAAAACATTTAAATTAGTTGAGTGACTTTCTTAATGAAATACTTATAATTGAGAGACTTTTGAGTTATAAAACAAAGTTGAGTGACTTTCCAAATAAACTACTCTAAGTTGAGTGACTTTCTAAGAGAACAATTGAAAGTTGAGTGACCATCTGAGATATTAACTCTCTTTTTGTAAAAAATCCTGAGGGATTTCTAATTTTGTTACAAAATTTTAATAATCAAATTTCTTTAGAGTTTTCCGTCATGCTTCTATTCTTATTATGTTCAATTAAATAAATGGAAGGACAACTAATTAATAAAGTTGTTATTGTCATTCATGAGTTCATACTAACAGATAAAAATGAGCTTTCACATCCATAAAGAAATTTTTGTGTTGCAATTACTTGAACTTTTCATATCAATGGATACATATCTTATTAATTGTGGTTTAATGTTTGCAATTTTAAAAATTCTATTTTTCTCACGGTTGTCTGTTAGGACCAGTTGATTGGGTGAAAACTGAAAATGGAAGATAGTAGTACCAGATGCACTTCGTTGAGATCAATGAACAAATTTAAGATAGTAAATAGAATCCACACCCAGAACAGAGAATGAAGATTTCTCCAGCAAATTTGAGGACCTATTGAACAAGTCTTCACTTCAAGTGAGGTACAATAATATTAGACGACCCTTCTTTTGTTCTCCTTAAAATGTTAATTAGAAAGAAAAAAAACAATTTGTATGCTATAGCAAACAAAAAAAATCATATTTGTATGCTATAGCAAAGTTTGCATAATTGCGCTCCATAGCAAACATATACATGCATAATTCGCTATGCATATACAATTGAAAGCTGTCTATTTCGCTGTACATATATACAAAAAGAAGCAATTGTATAATTCGTTGGCTCTTCTTCAGATTTGTATAATTTCGCTGGCAAGCCATTTGTATAAATTGTTGTTAGCCTCTCGTTTGTATAAATCGTTGACAAAAATATTTGTATATCAAAAATCACTCTCTTTCGCTTTATACAAACATAAATTATACATTTTACAAACATAAAACTGGGCAGGGGAATATTTTTATTGTATAATTATAAGTGTATAGGACGAATATATATGTATTCGCATGTGTATATACAATTTTCTCGCGCTTTATACAAACAGAAACGCAATTTATACAATTATGTTGTATAAAACGAGAAAGAGAGAAAGGCAAAAGAGAACTGGGCAGGGGAATATTTTTATTGTATAATTATAAGTGTATAAGACGAATATATATGTATTTGCATGTGTATATACAATTTTCTCTCGCTTTATACAAACAGAAACGCAATTTGTACAATTCTGTTGTATAAAACGAGAGAGGCAAGCACAGAGGGAGTGAGCGAGAGAGGAGAGTGGCGAGCGAGAGTTTGAGGGAGAGAGGCGCTGGCAAACAGTTTGCTACATGACACAATTAAATCAAAGTGTGGTTATACCATTTAATTTGAATTAATAGTTTGCCATTATGTACAATTTTCCCCAAAAAAAATCAGCCAAATGTCTACAAAAGAAAAATATAAAAGAATTACACTATGGATAAACAAATCATTGTATATGACCATGTGACGATTAACAATTATAAAATAGTCTATTCGAAAATTGTTTTCTTTTTTCAAGTTTTTCATCCCTAAACACCTAAAAAAGTGTAACCTAAAGACTACCACATATCGAACTTAAAGAATAATTAAGACTACTGATAATTTAGACGCGCAGGGTTCAAGTTATTCTTCCTACTTAATATATAATGTTCACTGCAAGATCCATCAATTTAGTTCTTAAAGAATCTTTTCACAGATGCTTTTGACAAACCACATCATATTTCTTGACCCAATCAAGCAAAGCAAAATAATAATAAAAAACCAATTACAATAATAGAGTTTAAAGAAGAAGAATGGAGTATAAAAAATGTATCCGCCAGACAAAAAGATTATTTAAATAGCACGTTCCCACTCTATTTGCCATCTTGCAAATTTTTTTATCTCTATTTTTTATATCCCTTTTACCAAGAAAATAAAGTGTATTTAATATAATGTTCATTGCAAATTGCAAAAGCCTTCAAATTAGTTCTCAAAGAAAAGAAAAGGAAGCCAATATTATTGTATAATGGCAAAGATTAAGAGTGTTAGTTATGTTTTGTGTCACTTAGTTTTAGTGCTTGTGAATATATATATTTTTAGGAAAATGTATTATTATGATAATGAGAAATTGAGTTGGAGCCAAAGAGCTGCACAAGAAGCAGAAAAAGTTGCATCAATTTCATGTTCTGGCCATGGAAGAGCCTATATTGATGGTTATGTTAATGTTGATGGAAACCCTATTTGTGAATGTTATTCTTGTTATGGTGGCATTGATTGCTCTTTATTTTCCTCCAATTGTTCTGCTAATGTTGAAGGGTAATATTCTACTTTATTCAATTCATTTTTTTTTTATAATCTTAATCATCTATCTCCACCGCATCTGTGGAATTACACTGAATATGTTATCATTGTTAATTATCTATCTCTAATCTCTACCTCACCTGTGGAATTAGATTGAAAATATTGTTGTTGTTAATCGTCATCCATATTCTCTAGTATCTACTTCACCTATGGAATAACACTGAGTATATGTTATTGTTGTTAATCATCCAATTCTAGTCTCTACCTCATCTGTGGAATTGGATTAGGTATATGTTTTTTTTGTTGTTAATCATCCATCTCTAGTATCTATTTCATTTGTGGAATTAGATTAAGTATATATTAAAATCTAGACTTTAGTCTATATATACCTCTTTTGTGAAACTATACTGAGTATGTTATTATTGATAATCATCCATCTCTAGTCTCTACCTCACTTGTAGAACTACACCGAGTATATTATTGTTATTGATTATCCATCCATCTCTAGTCTTTACCTTACATGTGAAATTAAACTGAAAATGTTATAGTTGTTAATTATTCATCTCTATTGCACTTATAAAATTACACTAAATAATATGTTATTGTTATTTTGTTAATAATCCATCTCTATAACAGTATAACTAGAGGATGGAAGTATATTACTTATCAATCATCCATCTAATTTATATTTTACACATTTTCCCATCCAAAAAGATAGAAAGATTTCTTGTGAATATTCCTTCTAAAAGATTGAAATTGCAAATTTATTCATGTTCAACTGTACTATCCCTTAGGCATGCATTAACTTTATGAGTTATTAATACTGTTTGTGTTTGATATCCTTTTTATAATTAATGCAATGCATGTTATTTTTAATATACCAAATCAAACACTACTACATCAGAAATAATCTCAGCATAACTACTATCAACATTACACCCCTACCATCCAACCCCTTAAAAAGTTGATTCTTTCATCATTTTATTGTGTAATTGATTGTATAATTAATATGCAGAGGTGATCCTCTATTCTTGGAACCATTCTGGATGCAAAATGCAGCTAGCAGTGCAGTAGTAGTGGCAGGATGGCATAGAATGAGTTATGCATTTCCTAATAATCAGTCCTTTATATCCAAAGAACTTGAGAAAAGCATCAGAAAAATACATGCAATTGCCAAGAATGCTATTACACATGGAAAATACATTATATTTGGAACAGGCTCTACTCAGCTTCTACATGCTGCAGTTCATGCTCTTTCTATGGATAATAATTATTCAACAAAAGTAGTTGCAAATAAAATCCCTTATTATTCGGTAATTCGTTCTCTATTACATATTAATAGTCTGTTTGGCCAAGCTAAGTTTTGGGAGAAAATAAGTGCTTATGGGGAGTAGCAAAAACTGTTTTTCAAAACTAAAAAATATTTTTTTTGAAAAGTAGTTTGGAAATGCTTGGTATTGTTGCTCAAAAGTGTTTTTGAAATTTATTGAATCAAACACAAACTGTTTCTCACTAAAAGTACTTTTTATCAGCTTTATAAGCTTCAAACGGAATACTTTCAAACACGTCATTGTGAATTTGGAGGAGACGCATCCATGTTGAAGAACAACTCAGATTTTGCTGGAAATGTGATTGAGTTTGTGACTTCACCAAATAATCCAGATGGAAATTTGGAAAGTCCAGTTCTAAATGGTCCAAATGTGAAGCACATTTATGATCATGCTTATTATTGGTCTCATTATACAGCAATTCCAGCTCCTGCTGATGAAGATCTCATGATTTTCTCTATGTCTAAGCTCACTGGTCATGCTGGATCCAGATTTGGGTAAGAAAAACAACTCTCCAAGTGAAAAATAGTCGTTTTGGAGTTTCAAATTCCACAAGTGAAACTCCACAACACATTATCCTGTATTTCTCTTGTGAAATTTAAAACTCGAGAACAATGACTATTTTTTAGTTACAGAAACAACTAATTGTTATTCATTAATGTAGGTGGGCAATTGTGAAAGATGTGAATGTGTATACAAGAATGATGGAATTTATTAGTTTGGCTGAAATGGGTACCTCAAAGGATGTTCAGTTGAGGGCTTTAACACTATTGAAAGTTGTTGCTCAAGGAGATGGCAAACAACTCTTCAATTTTGCACAACAAATCTTGATGGATCGATGGAAAAAATTGAGTCATATCTTCTCCCTTACTAAACGTTTTAGCCTCCAAACAATTCCGACTCAGTATTGCATATTTTTTGAAAGAACAAGAGAGCCATCTCCAGGTGACTTCTTTTTACTCTAAGAAAACTTCTACATAAGCTTTAGTTTTGTATGCTTGTGTGTGTGTTCTAAAAGATAAATCGTTGTGGCGTTGATGGCAGGTTATGCATGGGTGAAGTGTAAGAGGAAAGAAGATAAAAACTGTCAAGAAATCTTCAGAGTTGCAAAAATCACAGGTCGTACAGGTAGACAATTCTTTGCAGGAGATCGTTATGTTCGATTCAGCTTGCTGAGTGGCCAACATGATTTTGACATGTTGATCCATCGACTGAAAGAATTGATCTCCCAAGAATATGAAGCCAATGCACAAGCCATGTCAAGTTTTTAACTATTAGATGATTATGCATATCTTCCCTGAGATTTCATCATGTAATATTTATTTACCTGATATATAATTTAAAATATCATGTAAACCTTCCTAGATTTTAAGTAGGAGTGCATCTATACTAGTTAGTAGAAGTGTATTGTCTTGGTTCCCTTATCAGCAAGCGTAATACTACTCCTGTAGTTTCTTGTTCTTCAACTTATGTTGCTATATGTTGTTTCGTATGGTTCGATTATAGGATTATTATTGTAGTATTGTTTTGCTACTATCTGTTGTTTTTGTTATTTTCTGTTGTCTCTTGTACTTCCATTACGTCTTTTTCTAAACTTTTTCTGTCTTGAGCGAGGGTCTATAGGAAACAACCTCTCTACCTCACTTGGTAAAAGTCTGCGTACACTCTAACTTCCCCATATTCCACTTTGTGTGACTATACTAGGTATGCTGTAGTTGTAAACCTTCCTAGACTTTCAGATTTTGTTTCATTGAGTATAATAGTTTGAGAATAATAGTGCAGAGAAAAGGAAAGGTAAACTGCACAATATTGACCCAATTCTTCCTGCATTACACTAACACCCCATCATAGGTTGCCCACAATCAACAGGGTTCAACCAACAATAATACACTGAGAAATGAAGAAACGTTTCAAGAGAACTATGTCCAGTCACGTAGCTACGATGTACCTGAGACAAATTGATAGTCCAATTTCGAAGGATTCAAGTTCTAATCAACAGGCTGTTTTGCAGCAACTAATTTCTTTGTCCTTTCAAGAACACCAAAAAATATGGATCCTCCAATACCTATCCAAAGTACTCGTGGCCCTATTCCCTGCAATACAACGGTAAAGAATTAGCTTAGCTTGCTTGATCATCTAAGTTATATTAACTTAATTGTCAACATTACATATAACATCACTTCCCACAAGAATTCTCTGCTGAACTCTATTGCAATATTAGAACTCCTAGTGCTTTTTATATGAAATTGTTGAAGAGATTAACTATTCGAAGGAATTGGTATTACTTTGGACCTTCTTTCCCTCCAACGAATGAAAGAGAACAGACAACATGTCAAATTTCAATGGGCAGAGTTTTGACAATAAAACGCGATAAAAAGAGAGAATGATCGAGAATGATGCTTCTAGCATATATTATGGCTGACAAACTGACAAGCTATTATAAAAATTGATAACCCAATCAGTATAAGAAAGTTTATGCCAATCCGTCATCTGCACTCTTTTTTTTGGAGGGACTAGATGAAAAGTTGAATCATAATCACTATGTGTACAACCAAACATATGCACATAATGTAAGTCATAGAACACGAAGTCACTACCTTAAAAAGAGTAGAGGCTCCTTCTTCTCTTGCAATAGTTTTAACACAATGCAAAATGCCTTCATACTGCTTTGCTGAACCCTGCAAACGTAAAATAAACATAAGCAGTCAGGTTTTCAATAATGAATTAGGAAGAGAGAGATTTGCAGTTAGAGAGACGCGAGGGCACCAAACCTGAACCATCAATCTTGTTTTTATCACATCAAGAGGAGTAGTTATAGCTCCTGTTATTGCACCTGCAAGTAATGTAAGATTCAAATGTAACAGATATCTGAAGAACAGAAATTATTGCTGTGATATTAAATGTATAATCAGAAGAAGAATCTAGAAACAAGCTTTGCATATTGTCTCTTTGCATTCATTTCCAATTGATTTCTAATAGGAAACAGACTTTACCATCCAAGACACTACAGCAGATGAAGGACCACTTTCAAGTGAAATGCATCTCTAAAATTCTCCTTTTAAGAAGCGTGTCCCAACTAACATAGATTAGCTTGAAATCGATCCTCAATCCATGAAATATTCCATAGAACGTAAGCAAAAGGCTCTTGTGATTCATAAATATGTGTCATGTTCATGTGTATAAAGATATTTGAAAAAGTATGTTGATTACACATGGATTGTTTATTTAGTGAGGGATTTCCGCAGATATCAGTGTACCAGTCGAAACAGATGATACCATAGAAATTGGAAATAATCTAACACATGTGATTACCTGCAAAGGCACCAATCATTGCATTCTCGGAATCTTTAAGGTCCCTTTTGGCCTGCATAAGAAAAAAGTATGTCTCTTTTCCAAGAATATGAACATAAAAACCAGTCTTTGTAAATTTATGAATAGAAAGAAGAGTTTATATATATAATCATTTGGACAAGTTATGTAAATTCTCTTGTAGTGAAAAGCAGAATGAAATTGAGCAGTTCCAGTTCAATACATAAAAAAAAATACTATAGATGGATGAAATATTACTGGTATACTGGTGCTTCAATTTTAGTTTACTTAATTGCACAAAAGAAAGAAGGGTTGAGTTGTACTCTAGCTCTGCCCCCGAGTACGGGTTATTTGAATTTGATTAAAATTGATGACGTGTAAGCATCCATACAGAACCAACTTACAGCTAACTTATACCCCATCCGCAGCTGCTCGTATAAACAGAACTGGATAGCATCAAATGGTAAGTCTCTCAGTAGAAAAGAACCATACCCCTGCACTCGAGAAAGAAAACAATGGGTTTTCAAGAGGCTGGGCAAGGAAAACCGTCATTCAACATAGATTCAAGTTTCTGATAAATTCTGGAAAAATACCCCCTACTTACAGCATAAAGGCCTCTAAACCCTTCCTTAGCAACAATGAGTAGGACCGCATCAGGGGCAGAAGAAAATTGGCAAGTCTGCATCCTTTGCTTAACTACCTGTAAGTTATTCATACCTTAAACCCGTGAAGCAACACCAAAACGTTGGATGGGACAATTAAGGTTTCATTACCTCAGTGGGTACACGAACAATAGAAGAAGCAGCTCCGCCAATAGCACCTGCAGTCTAAATTGAGTGTAAATAAACGTTTATACTTCGATAATTTTGAAATGTGGGACATTTATTGCTTGCCCTTTTCTTAAATTATTCAATGTAAATGCATAGATAATTCAAAATTCAGAAAGGGACAATTTAAAATTATCTTCTACGCTCACATAGATGTGTCAATTTAAATATACTTCCAGAAATAAGAACGAATTACGTGTGAGAGGTTCAAAGAGTTATGTTCCATCTTCAGGATTGTAGCTTAAACTATGATTTAATATAGTTATAGACTATAAACTGCGGTCACAGATTGCATGGACCCAGATCATTGAATATCTTAAGTAAAATATAACAAAATAAGGGTTGCTGACATTTTATCAGTTGCAATACTTACCAAATGAGCTAAGGCACTAAGGTTTTCAGGGAAGCTGTCCAGCAATTTTCTCTTCGCAGGTTCATATACACCAATAAATATTGCCGATGCTCTACAAAGAACAATGTAATAATGTTAATCTTGTCATGCATAACAGAGCAGTATGAAAAAGAAAATACAAGAGTAAAGAAAATATAGCAAATAATAGAGAACGCATTACATAACATTCAAGGAAAAGGAACAGTAGCAGTAGCAAAATAATGCGATAACCGAAGCATAAGAAACAACGGGTAATAACAGAAAACGAGAGAATTGGGATTAGTTATGCTGGTATTATATTTTCTCGATTGTTTGGTTTGTAGTATTAGAATAGGAATAGTACCCCGCATTATTAATGGCATGGTTTACTATGTATAAGAATGGTACTGAATAGGTATTATTTTTTCTTATACTTCCTATCAAACGACCCCATAATGAATTGAGAAATGACCTGAGTGTAATTTTTATAATGCACAATGTGCATTGAACAAGAAATTCATCCATGGAATCAAATTCATAAAGTAAAGTACTTGAAATCAAGACTACTTACGGTAAGACTCCAACTAGATTTCCAGCCAATCCTGAATAAAGACCTTTCAAAATGATCTGTCCTCCACCACGAACTGCCTAACATTAAAACATGAACAGCTGGTCAAATCAACTAATATAGTATAACTGTATAAGAGGTGACAAGATTCACTTAGCTGAAGTCCTTGTATAATTAAAATCAAACTTAAGGAAATTAATACTCAAGTTGGAAGCTTGATGGATGAGAAATAAGAGGTTAAGAAGCAGTTACGAATTTGTCAAAAGCTAATCTCATTGTCTTAATGACTCAGAGCCAGAATGTCAAGTAAAAAAACTTTCAGAGAAATAGTTAGTACGTGCTAAAAAGATACGCAGTAGGAAGAAGGAAGCATATTCATAGAAGATATTCACCAAATGTTTAACAGAATAAACCTGCTTGAAGACGAGTTTTAATTGTATCAATTGGATACAAAGCAGCTTCTACAACAACACCAGCAGCAGCTCCTGATACAGCTCCCTCTAAAGAAGTCCAGAGAAGATATTACAATCATAAAGGAGGGGTAAATGGCCAAAAGCCAATATTTGGAATCTGTCACTAGAAATGTACACAATACCAAAACCAACACAAAAGAGAAGGCAAAAACACAAAAGCTGCAGGGATATAACTCTCAACTAATTTACCTAGAGGGAAATAACATTAACCGTGTTCATCTACAATCCAGAAGAGCACTTAAAGGTGTCATTCAGCAATACCATCACAGAGTTGCACTATCACCAGATGAGAAGTAAATTAATGCCATTTTTCCAAACTATGTGCCGCAATAAGATGATATCGAGAACACAAAGATACCAGATCAAAAATCTTGACTTCTGAGATGATTTCAGTGACAATTGAATATGCTTCTTTTCCACCCTTAAAATGCCTCAGTATTTTCAAAAGCCACTCAAACATAATGTACCTCTAACTTTTTTTAATAGAATGAGCTTCTAGTCAATAAATATATGAATAAACTTAGCTTACGAATTCCTAAGCACTGCATCCTTTGCATATGTTTCTATGCTGACTTCATGCACAGTGGTGACCTATTGCATACACAACAGAGCACAAACAATGGTCCCTGAGTAACACTGTAAGTATGCCAAATTTTATTTCACTTGAAAATTTATCACTTTGTATTTTAGTATTGATATTATTGAGGTTATCCCCATAGCCATCTGAATTTTTTATAAATAAGTGAAACTGAAAGTAAACGCAAGTAGTCTCAAAGGCGACCCAAAATTTACCAGAAGAAGCGAAATTCTTTCCTCAGATCTGCTATTTTCATCCTTACTTTTTCAGATTCATATTAAAAGGTTCAGTCACTCTCTAGTAAAGTTAAAAGTCTTGATCTAATCAGCAAGACTCTAGGAAATATTGTGGTAACTTCCAGAGCAATTAGAAGAACTTACCATACAATATGCGTAAGAGATCAAATGGATTCTGTTGTTTGCTGATTGATGCAATAGCTTTTGATTTGTGGTGGGATTTGAGTGCCTCGAAGTTCAGTCTATCTTCTGCAAGAAGAATTTTGTATCATCAAAAGTGGCAAAACGGAACATCAATTGTCTGATTTATCTAACTTCTTCAACAGATCTTAGGAATCATTTGTAAACAGGTCAAAAGGTATAAGAACAATGATTTTGCAAATGAAAGTAGCCAAGTGAAAAGGAAAGGCACACACGTCAACCTAATGGCACTTGCCAATGCTTTGAAATATAATTTATTTTTCTTTCTTTGTTTTCTATATATATTCAACTAAATTGTTCTGTAGACACTTTGCCAATTCCACGGTGATGATTCTATAATCAACTTAATAGTTATGCAGATACAATATGAGGTTTTCCCCCAGAGATGCTGCCTCTAATTTGTGAAGGCAGGTGCAACTGCCTCAACTTTTCTTAATGAGGTTCCCTATGATGAAAACTGGCACTTCTCAATAACTCTCCTCTACAAAATGTTCTACTCTACTACTTAGAGCACGATGCAGCTAATGAAAATCCACAGACGACAAACACATCAATTCTTTGAAACAGAAAATATATGCTGTGTTTTCAACTGAA